GGCCGGGGGCGCCCAAAGTGTTGGCTCGCTGCACGTTGGTCCCAAACGCAAAACGGCAGGAGATGCAGCGGAAGAGCGCCAGCAGGTCGCCCATGCCCGCCACGCAGAAGGGCAGACCCTGCAGGACGCGGCGTGGGTCACAAGGCGACGGGCGCGGTGGTGCGGGAGCAGGCGGGTGCGGCCGGCCTGCTGCTGCAAGGCGTGGGTGCTAGCCAGCCACGCCCCGGGCTGCCCAGCGCCAAGGTTTGAGGCAGGAGGCTCGAAAGAGACTGATCACGCCGTTTCGAGGGAGGCAGGGCATTGCCCTCGGGCAGCCCCTCTGGGGTCCTACCTTGGTCTTGAGCACTATCTGGTTGTCCTCCACCACCTCGGGCAGCCACACCTGCGGTAGGCAGCGCAGGCGGCAAATCCCGAGCGAGGAGTGGTGGGTGTTGCGTGCAGCGCCCCTAGCGGTGCCACAAACGTCGTGCAGATGTTTGAGGCTTGCGGCGGGGTGCAGGCGGCGCCCTATGGCGCCTCCAAGCGACACAGCCATTCCGCTTGCCTGGCACAGGAGCCCCGCGGGGCTGCCCTCGGAACACAGGAACGAGTCCTGGAAGCGGAGCACAGCGCGGGCCAGCCGGGACACGACGATGGCCCTGTCTTGGGCAGTGAGCACCAGCGAGCGGGGCCCAGAGGGCTCCTCGCCCGCCATGGTGCGTATGTTATCGCAGTGGGATCGGGTAAATGGCAGCCAAAGCGCGGGGCCCAGGAAGCCCCATGGCAAGCCCATGTGTTGCCCCCTGATGTGGCACCCTCCCGATTGGGCAACCCCCGCCCCCGCTCGCTCCTGGCAGCCCGCGCGGCGCTCCCCTCCCATACGTGAACTGACCCCATAGAGCCATGTTTGAGGGTTGAGCGGGGCGGAGCGGGGCTGCTTGCACACGTGATGGCATGCACGCTTCAACGCTCCCGCTGTCATCTCACCTCTCTAGCGTCAGAAATACAACTCTTACAAGCCAACCAACACGAACAGAGAGACCGAACAACAGAAATGAACAGGAAATATGAAGCCGCCACAGGCGGCAGCACCTTCCAGCGGAGACGGCAAAGCGTACAAGGCACACTTCTTCAATGGTTCGTGCAATTGCCACCCTTACCGGTTATACAGCCACAGTGCCGCCCACACCGCGCACCATTCTTCTTGCAGCTGCAGTTCCGGGTGCAGGCGCCGCGGCAGCCGCAGCGCACGGCTGCCTTGCCGCCGCCGGGCTGCGCCG